CTGCTCGCCTCGCCTAGAAGACCTTAAGGCGACCAGGCGTTCGCCTAGGCGTCGCCTTTCCTCGCCTTAATTCGCCTTACCTCGCCTTGATGCCTTGGGCCCCTTTAAAATTTTGAAAAACCCCATTTTTTAGTGCAGCCCTTTTTCTTTTAGTGTAGCCTAATAGACTTAAACTTATCTTCTCTCTTTCTCGGTCTTCTCTGTCAAGCTTCCTTAAAAAGTGTAAGACCTATATATACATATACATATACATATATATATATATATGTATGTGTGTGTGTGTGTGTACACATATATATATGTGTGTGTGTGTGTAGGTATGTATGTCGCCTAGTTGTCGCCTAGGCGATATGAAGGTACATTGGCGCCTTGGCTCGCCTTGCCGCCTTACAAACTATGATTGCAATGCCGTTTACAGTAATAGGCCCTGTGTGGCTGTGTTATAAATAAGTTTGCTTGAGATGTTTAGAAACACTTCGTTTTGACTAGAAATTCATGGCAGGTAATTACATTGCAACGGTGTTTACAGTAATCAACACAATGTAAAATATGCAGGTCCGCTTGCATTTACTAACAGCAGTAATGAAATGTTTCCTAAGACGACCGCCGGAAACCCAGATGGCTTTAGGTGCTGCATTGACTGCTGGTATTAGTGATTTTCATCAGGTCTGTAGTAGTTACTTCCTCGGTCCCAAAAAAGGTTATGTTCTAAAAGTCTACTGTTATTTTAAGTGCAATTCTTATAAGTTTACAGCCAACTTTTTGTTGAAGCCTTGAAGGGCATCATAGGAAAATACAAGTTGCAGAGAGTGCTAAGATAAATACTCCGTAAATGATTTGTGCATGCTCGCACCCTATATTGGTTGATTAAAATTAAAAAGTTGTACCTTAAACAGACATGACTTTTTAAAACTCTTTGGGACAAAGGTAGTATAAATTTTCAGGACAGGACTTTCCCTCAATACAATCACCTTAATATCAGCTAGTCATGATGGTCTCTTTAAAAATGCAGGATGTTCATGATAGGGCATTGTTCTACTACAGACTGCTTCAGTACAATGTCACTTTGGCAGAACGTGTGGTGAATCCTCCAAAGCAAGCTGTTTCTGTTTTTGCCGACACACAAAGTAGTGAAATCAAAGATCGTATTTTTGATGAATTCAATAGTCTCTCTGTTGTGTATCAGAAGGTAATATTGATGCTTATTTTTTGGAATTGTGATCTTGAGTACTATGATGATTATTGATCCTCGACAAGGATACTCCTGAAAGATGGGAATGGACTTATACAAAGAATCCCATTTTATTTAGAAAGAAAGAAAGAAGAACAACATGTTGTTAAGGCTTAAATCAAAATTTCTAGTGTTTTGTAATTTGTGAGATACACAAGCACTTTGTCACTGCCATATGAAAAAATGCTGAAGCATATGTTAATAAGAGCCTGTTGGGATGTGCTTCTAGAGTTATGGTCCTGGTGGACATGCTCAAAGGCTCTTCTAGTGGATGTAAAGCGCTTTTACATGTAAAATAGGTGTTTTAACAACTTGAAAAGTGCTTTTAGAAAGACAAACTTTTTCTTGAATGTGCTTTTGAAGGAATTATCATCTTCCAAAAGTGCTTTTGTCTCGTTTGCTGTCTTATTCTGCTTATTGGTAAACCAAGTAGTTTTTGACTTATCTGGCCAGAGAATATGTGTTCCGGTTACGAAACACCTTACCTTTAAGTTACCAAACGGTCCTATTCATCAAAAACACATTTTCTTCATTCTTATAACTGCTTTTACTAATGTACATGCTAACGATGCTCTTTTTGAGGTTTACTAACAACACATGCAACTTTGCAGCCTTCATACATGTTTACTGACAAAGAACATAGAGGGCCATTTGCCTTCACGGAAGAACTCGGGAACTTATCTATCGGGGAAGAGCCTACAGATAATATGGCATCAGCTCAGATAGCAGATGCAAATGACAAGGATTTACTATTAAGCACTTCAGAAAGAGAAGAAAGCAAGGCACCTAGCAAGAACAATGGTTCAGGATATAGTGCCCCCCTTGCAGCTGCTGATACAACTGCTATGCAGTCCCAAACGGATCTAGTTTCCTTAGATTACAATTACAAATCTACCCCTGGTGCACCTTCAACTAGTTTCGCCATAGATGATTTACTCGGTTTAGGGTTGCCAGCTGCACCAACCCCTGCTCATCCTTCACCTCCTGCTTTGTCGCTTGTTCCTAAAGCTGTTTTGGCTCCAAATGTGTTTCAGCAGAAATGGAGACAACTTCCAATATTGATATCGCAGGTTCTGGTTTTAATTATCTATCTAGCCAGTTAACCCCATCATGCCACCCAGCTGGTGCATAGGAATCTTCATAGCATTGATTATAAATTTGAAACATTTTACTACAAATATGATCTCTAGTTTCCTCTTACTCCCCTTCTCTAAATTGTTCAGGAGATCTCCATGAATCCACAAGGCGTTGCAGCACTATCAACTCCACAGGCCCTCATAAAGCACATGCAGGGGAATGCCATCAATTGTATAGCTTCGGGCGGTCAAGCCCCTAACTTCAAGTTCTTCTTCTTTGCCCAGAATGGAAACGACGACCCGTGCACCTATCTGGTGGAGTGTGTAGTCAATTCAGCTTCATGTAAAGCACAGGTGAAGATCAAAGCTGATGATGAGACTACCTCTCAGGCCTTCTTTGATTTGTTCCAATCAACCTTGTCCATGTTCACTTCTTCCTAGCTAGCTATTCTATGGATCTTGTCCTTGTAAACTATATATCCTTTTGTTTGTTCTGTGAAAGAAATTTGGAAAATAAAGTGAAAGAACTTTAGCTGTTGCGCCATTTTGTGAATAGGACCACGAGATACTTACCGTTGATGCATTTTGTTGCACTATAGGGGCACGTTTTTTTATATTGTGAATCACTTGATTTTAACTGGTAGTGGTATGAATGAGGATTGACAATCCTATGCATTTTGTGATAGACCAAGCTATAGTTACACCAAGTTTGACGCCAAAGTCATGTATTTTATAAACGGGGACGATTCCCATGAAATTGTTTGGCAATGTACGGTTCTTTGTTCGAAAAATTGACGGTTCTTACTCCTTCGGTAAACCTCACACTCCGGCCTGACCCAAACCCAGCCAAATCTGTATTTTGTATTTTTTTTTCACATTTTTCTCTAACTCTTTGGAGGACAAAATAATTTTTCTCTTTTTGAATGTTGAATTGGTGAACAACAATTTCCTTTGTTCACTTAAAGCAAGTGCCAAACCAAAATGAATCATATATTGAGAGATGCAGGGAGCAACATTCTATTGGTGTTCCAGATGTGAAGTTCTAAAATGAAGAGTTGGCCCAACTTCCCGGATGCAAACACGATTATTGGCAAAGTCCCTAAGGGCTTGCACCTTATATAACAAGTTCGAGTCCAAATGAACCGTTATACTCGAATGTTCTTTCCGGATGCAAACTAAATTTCTTGCTAAACCCGTAAGGGCTTGCACCTCCTATAACGAAGTTGAGCCTAAAGGGAGGACTAAACTCGATTATTGTTCAATCACAAAACAAAGGGCTTGCATCTCATATGATGAGGTCAAGCCATAAGAAGAAATATACCGAGATGCTCTTCCCGAATGCAAACTTGATTATTGACAAAGCCCTTTCACGAGGTCGATCATAACCACTTCGCAAGGCAACTAAACCCTCTCCATGAGGCACCTAAATCCTCTCTCGAGATCAATCATAACCACCTTGTGAGGTAACTAAGCCCTCACACGCGGCACCTAAATCCTATCCCAGGCCGGTCATAACCACTTCGCAAGGTAACTATGTCCTCTCCACAAGGCACCTAAGTCCGTCCTCTTTTGAGGTCGGTTATAACCACCCCACAAAGCAACATAGCCCTCTCCCTGAGCACCTAAGTCCTCCCTTGAAGGATACCTACAATCCTCTCGACAATATTTTATTTTCTTTCCCGTGAGATCCATAAGTCGCCTCCAAAAAGATGTTAAGAGTCACTCACGCAAGTTCTGAGAAAAAGACGTATTTTGATTGATATGTTTTTCGAGTCAGATTCATTTATAAAACTAAGGTTCATGGTAAACCTTTATGTACTTTCTTTAAGTACATAAAACTTGTGTGAGAAAATCCATGTAAACCTTAGAGTCCTTCAGTACACGATGAAACTTCCCTCTTTTCGAAGAGCGTGGCATCATTAAAGATTTTAAAGATTGAGATTTTGGATTTATTTATCGCGATATTAAAAAGAATTTATATACCTAGAGATTGAACAAGTGCGGTGGCGAAACACGGCGTGCAAATGAGCTTGACATGTGTCACTCATACATGACATTTTTAAAAGACATGACATAAGAAAAAACTACATGGTATGCATTAGGAATTTGATATTTATATATTTCATAAGTTAAAACCAATATATTTGACATTACAAAAAAAATATGTACTTTTGATTTCAATAGAAATAAAAAAAATTAAACAAAAAATATAATCCTTCAATAAAAAATACATCTTGGTTTCCATGACATTGGGAACCAATGTCATGGGATGACCCGAGGGTGTTCCGGTGCCCCGTTCGTAAATTGACGGTTGCTACCCCCGGTAAACCCCCACCGCGCCCCGACCCGAACACACCCATCCACCCCCTTCAATTGCACCCCTAAGTTAATTTTGACTTTGGAGTCAAAATTTGACTCCAAAGTCAAAATTAACTTGGGGGTGCAATTGAAAAAGGTGGAGGGGTGTGTTCGGGTCAGGGCGCGGTGAGGGATTTACCAAGAGTAGGAATCATCAATTTTACGAACGGGGCACCGGAACACCCCGGGGTCATCCCATGACACCGCCTCTAAAAAATAAGTGCATAAAGTTAATTTAAAAGAAGTTATCCAAAATAACGGGCCTAAATAAATTAACTTTAAGCCCAGTTCGAAACCCTAGCTTATATATCATCAAGGTACGCCTCTGCTTCACTTTCCACAGCCGCTCGGACGAAAATGCAGATCTTCGTGAAGACCCTGACGGGGAAGACGATCACCCTCGAGGTGGAATCGTCGGACACGATCGACAATGTGAAGGCGAAGATCCAGGACAAGGAGGGGATCCCGCCGGACCAGCAGCGCCTGATCTTCGCCGGGAAGCAGCTGGAGGACGGCCGAACCCTAGCCGATTACAACATCCAGAAGGAGTCCACGCTCCACCTCGTCCTCCGCCTCCGCGGCGGCGCGAAGAAGCGGAAGAAGAAGACGTACACCAAGCCGAAGAAGCTGAAGCACAAGCACAAGAAGGTGAAGCTCGCCGTCCTGCAGTACTACAGGGTGGACGAGTCCGGAAAGGTCCAGAGGCTCCGCAAGGAGTGCCCCAACGCCGAGTGCGGCGCCGGAACCTTCATGGCCAACCACTTCGACCGCCATTACTGCGGCAAGTGTGGCCTCACCTATGTCTACCAGACCGGCGGTGATTAATTAACCCTTTCCTCTCCTGTTTTTGAATTAAACCTTTGATTTTGCTATTATTATCACTCTTGGATCCTTAAATCAATCGTTTTTCATATGGTCTTACAGCTTATATGTCCTCTATTGCTCTCTACTTATATGCATAAATGCCATTTTCATCACTGTTTTTGTTTTTAGAACAAAGTGTTTTTAAGAGTTCAAACAATGTTATTGGGAAAAAAATTGAATGTATTTTTAGATTGCAACTCAAAATTATATATTCCTTTGAGTATTTTGTCTCTTTTTTTGTTCAATTTTTATTTGTTGTGAATGTAGTATCATTTATCAGATATATTAAGTAGTTTCGAGCCGAACAGAACATCATATGATTCTTGAATGGATTTGTGTCACTCGATAACACGAACAATGATGTCATTTCAACCATGATGTGTGTGTTCAAGTAGAAGTTCTTGAACTCGTGAAAAAAATGAGAATGTATACGGTACAACGGGGCACTACCTTTGGTAGTGCCACTATTCAGACTATATATCATATCATTACATATACGGAGTAGATTTTTTTTTAGTAAGATGTACTCCGTAGATGAATGTGTTTTATGCTAGATAATTGTCTTCTAATGTTTTAACAGTTTAGGTTTTTTGTGGAATGGATGTGTGAATCAATGGTAAGGCTTCACTGAAACTTGCATTCAGTGGCCAGGGATGACACTCCTCCATTTTTGGAACCATTTGCAAAATTGATAGTTTTTAGTTCCTACCCCTTAACATCCGGTGATCTGTTTGCAACCCCCCGCATTGTATCCTACCCCTACCCCCTGCCCTTCCAAATATGTGGCTTTGCAAAATAGTCACACATTTGGAGGGGGTATGGGTGGGGTGTGGTGGGGGGTTTAGCTAGTGGGTTAGGGGCATTGTATCCTACCTCTACCCCCTGCCCTTCCAAATATGTGGCTTTGCAAAATAGTCACGCATTTGGAGGGGGTATGGGTGGGGTGTGGTGGGGGGTTTAGCTAGGGGTTTAGGGGCATTGTATCCTACCCCTACCCCCTGCCCTTCCAAATATGTGGCTTTGCAAAATAGTCACACATTTGGAGGGGGTATGGGTGGGGTGTGGTGGGGGTTTAGCGAGGGGGTTAGGGGAGTAAGAAGCATTAATTTTATGAATTAAGGTGCTTTAAATGAGCGAGTGTTAAGGGAACTTTATGGGTGAATTAGTTATGTGGTGTTTATGATTTGATGCATTATGGTTGTGTCATCTTCAATTGCGGGTATTGATTCAAAGTTATATTCAATTTTGTTCCTATTGTTAGACCAAATTACTTTTGCAAACACCATCAGTTGCAATGAATAAAAATGGAGTAAGAGAACAATTCTATAGAATTTGTTTTGCAAAATGTCTTTAAGCTAGTTTGGGAAACAAATACTCCCATGTCCCACTCTCTTTGTTTACTTACTTTTTGGCACACCATCTATTGCACTTCTTTAATCCATTTTATTTTGTAATTTGTATATTAAAAAATTATAGAAATTATATATTAATAATATATATGTTAAGACAAACAAACAAGATCACATATGACTATATTTAGGCTTACACATTGAGAGAATTTGATGAGTTAAAGTGTAACAGTTCCAAAAGTCAAAAGTAGACAAAGAGAGTGGGACGGGAAGTAGTAGATAGTTATGGCCACTTCCACTATGAAACCAGAAAAGGCAAAATATCTAAGAGTAAATAGTATAAATAATTTTTTATTTTCTAAATTTAAAAAAACAAATGATGTGATTACTTTGGGATTTTTATGTTGCTTTCATGAAATCCATAAACATATGGAGCACATTATACTTCGTATATTAATAGCTTAATACTCCTTCCGTCCATTATTTTTCTTCACGGGTACTATTACAATCTCTTGATAATTTATGTTCATGTTTTCATTAATCGTTTGATAAGATAAAATATTCTTGACATATCTTATTTTGTTGAATATTTTATTTAATTTTGAGCACTGTAATTTATACCAATACTTTTAATTGATATATCAATTTTTTTGGACTAATGATATATTCAATTTGCAAACACAATTTTTTGTAAAAAAAGATAAAATTCTACATCTTATTCGAAATGAGAAGAATAAAATAGACTGAGAGAGTACAATAAAAATCATTTTTTGAGATTTTTTTGCAAGATAAATCTAATTAAATCATTTTGTATTTTATATGATTTTTTATAAAGATTTGTTCAATTTGATCTAGAAAGGTGAAACAAGATGAAATCTCGGCATTTTTTTTTCAAACAGTCCTTTGGTGCATTGAAAAAACCACATCTGCGTGGTTTAACAAGAACTAAGTTTTTTAGCTATAAAGAACAAGACATAAGTAGGCTATAAATTAAAAGTGGTGTTCTAATTTCTAAAGAACTTAAGCTTGTAGCTTCAATTAGGCCATCATTATTTATGAACCAATATGCGTATAGAACATTGCTATGTGGTTTAAGTTTTTGAAATTGAAAATCAAACTTTATTTTCATATCAAAGCATATTAAGCATAAACGAGCAATTTGATTACGCAGTTGAACAATCTCTTAATTGGAATCTCATGACAATGGAATATTTGGCCTTGTGAGACATTGATAAGTGGAAAAGAAGAAGAAGAAGAAACACTACAAAGTTTGGGAGCAATGGTATTAGAATGAGATAGGGGTAGTGATAAAAAATGTGGTTCTTATCTGAAACCAAAAGGCCCTTTGATCACAAATTGTGGCCTTCTTCTTCTTCTTGTTCTTGTTTGTGTTCCTTAGATTGCAGAAAGGAAGTGAACCACTGTTTCCAAGCAGCATCCTGCTGCTGCTCAATCCATGAGAGGAAGCAGCTATCCAGCAAGCAGAAGAAGTTGACATACAAGAGTTGGTATCTCACAGGAACGAACCGGAAGTTGGCCACTTGGACGATCGGCCATATTCCTCCCTCCAAGATCAAGGCAGGGAGGAAGTCCCGCTTCACGTCTTCCTTTACTTGGGCCCCGGTTTTTCCACTCGCGAAGCCCATGTAGCTGAAGAACACGAACAGATCCAACGGCCCAAAGATGACTCCGTCTAGTGCTACTTTTGTGGCAACAAATTTCAGTGATTTTGGCTGGTACTGAAGCCGGAACCGGAGAAATCGGTCCAACCCTTCATACCTGTTGTTCAATTGGAAGATGAGATAACTTGCAATTCAACTCAATGGAGCGTATTATTTGAGCACTAGGGTTCTTTTGACACCCAACCCCGGCGTCATTATATGAAATCAGGTCCATTTGAGGGTCCTACGGTGTTTCATTCAACACTGAAGTAGTTTGTAACCCACAGCCCTCCCCCCCCCCCTCCCCCTAGTGGATTGTCTCCCAAAAGGGGTGTTGTGGTGGGGAACAGGGGCGGGTTGGGGGATTTGTAGAATTGTAGGGTAAGAACGGCTTCGGGGTCAAGCGGAGCAATGAAGGGTCCTCAATTGGTTTGGTGTCATGATATAACACCGGCCCTTGGTGTGAAAAGAACCGACCTCTAATTTGAGTTTTGATCTTCAGTCGTGAATTCACTTCACATTAGTATTGACATTTTACACACACACACACCATTATTGGAGAAAGCAAATGAAAACACATTATTGGTAAGCTAAGATTTTCGTCTGACAAATAATATTAATAACAATACGTTGTTTTTTGCCCAACCCAAGTTCTTTGTGGAACAAACAATTACTCGTGTTATATATAGGATCTTCAAAAATGAGAGAGATAGATAGAGGAGTTACCAGAAGTGACCAATCGGTCCAACAAATGCAAGGCCAAACAAGCTTGTGGTGGCAACTCTTCTCCAATTTATCTTAAATTCTTCCTTTTCATCCTATAGTGTGCACAATTTAGACTATTGAATAAGCAATGAGATTGAAGACTCGGAATATTGACGCACTCCTCATATAAGATACAAGTTAAAGAATAAAATGAGACCGGAAATAGTTTTTGCTTCACTAGTTTATGTCCATTTAATAGTCTTGGGCTATGAAGTAGAGAAGAATTGCATGTTTAGTTAAATTGGGTATTTGTATCTGACGTTTCATCTTCGTCCCCTTTCCGGCCATCTATCTTGAAGTGCCTATGTGTTAACAATGCTGAAACACTCGAATGTACCTTTTTACACCTTCATAATCTATGTCGATTTTGGCCTAACACGACTAATCTTTAAGCCCTAAGAAGGACAAGTTCTCCAATCGAAAAGAGTGAATAACCAAAAAAAATTACTCAAAGTAATACTCAGTTACTGACAATGAGCTGTTTATCGCCTTCACTTCTATCAAGAACACAAAGTTATTCCAGCTAGGTTTACACACATTGTAATGAATCATAAGAAATCTGCAGTGCATAATCATAAAAAAGCTTCCAATAATTAACAATCAAGAAACACATATCATAAACCCTATTTTCTGAACAGAGATTAACACTAATCTCAATGTTACGAAGAATTGAAGACCAATCGGAAGACTTACAGAGGAGAGATAGCGGCGAGCCCTGGATGTGTAGTGAGTGACGGACTGGGCAGAAATGTCGCCGAAGCCCCAAATCAAGCCGGAGCTGATCACCTGCGTCTTCACCGGATGCACGGTCAAGCAATTCTGGTACCATTTCCACGCCGCTCTCAACAACATATCATCCGATTCTCTTCTTCTTCGTCGTCGTCTTCGTCTTCTCGTTTTTTGATGAAGAACCTTCTGTATCTTTCCCTTGGTGCTGAATCGATTGGGTGGACGGGACGACGGTTCTCGCGGTGGCCGCCGGGAGGACTCGGGTTGAAATCGTTTACTTCTGATGACTATTCGTTTCTGGGCTGAAATTTTGGGAATTGGGAAAGGGAGAAATTGGGCTTCCTTGCTCGTTCGATTCCGGGTGGTGGAAGGTGAACACTAAAAACACATTTCTAATTTTATAACACAAAAAAGTAGGAACCCTTAATACATTTAGCACAAGTTTGGTACATGAAATTAACGAAATTGGAATTAAATTAGAAATTGAAATTTTATGAAATTGATTTAGACGAGTCAAATTCATTTTTGATACTACCATACACATACATTTAAGGTAAATAAGCAAATCGTACTTCCTTGATGAACATTGTTTTTTATTAAAAAAAAATTATGTGAGAAAGTGCACAAAAGTGATATGGACTCAATTCTAATTCCATAATTTGAATTTTGTGTACCAAATGAAACCTTAATAGAATCTATAATATAAAAAAACTTTTATTTTTATACATGATATATTATTTCATTATGCTTCATATATAATTATTTGTTAAAATAAAATTCTCATGTCGTCTTCGCCGGTATTATTTTGTGCTAGTAAAACTTTTGACATAACCTGTAAATGTATATAAATTTTATTTTTTAATTTTTGTATTGATTAATAAACAAATTGAAGCTAAGCTAAATGTAAACCAATATTGTAAATTGAAATGATAAAATGTTTTATCACAAAGTATTGTCGATTTGAATATCACACTTTTGAATCTTATTGTTAAAAATTCCTTACACAACGAAAAGTTGAAGATCAAATATGATTTATGTTCTTTGAGTTAAATAGAACTGAAGTTTGAGTGTTAGAATGTTAATTCATTGAGTTAGTGACATATTCAAATTTGGTGGAATAAAAAGTTGTAAAAATATTCTTTTTGAAATAACAAGAGTAATAACAGATGCATAACTATAACTCAATCAAATTTATATGTTCCACTTGATTTTTTTAATCAAATTACGCAAGTTGTTATCTAGTTTTTTTAATAGAGAAATTATCTTTTAAATTCATCACCTTGACAAACAAGGTGAACCAAAACCTGCTCCGATACCATGATAGAATTTGGGATGGGTATGGACAACTCGATTGGGTAATAAGACACTTAGGTTGAACCACATTAAAAGATTGAATCCAATCGATTAGTTAGTTCAACTCAAGAGTTTATATACCGATTATTTTCCTCACACTTTTCCGTGTCAGATACTCTTAACAGTAATCTAATACGGAGTATTGTAAATTGAAATGAAAAGATAATATTAGGACGAAAAGATATAATTGATGTTCAGTGTAAACAGGTTTTATCACAAAGTATTGTCGATTTGAATGTCACACAAATGAATCTTATTGTTAAAAATTCCTTACACAACTAAAAGTTGAAGATCGAATATGATTTATGTTCTTTGAGTTAAAAAGAATTGAAGTTTGAGTGTTAGAATGTTAATTCATTGAGGTAGTGACATATTCAAATATGGTGGAATAAGAAGTTGTAAAAACATTCTTTTGAAATAACAAGAGTAATAATAGATGCATAACTACTTAGTTAACGTAAGATAGATAGAGCAATCTCTCCAACTCTACCAACGGTAGCTCATAACTCAATCAAATTTATATGTTTCACTTGATTTTTTTAATCGAAATACACAAGTTTTTATCTAGTTTTTTTAATAGAGAAGTCTTTTAAAATCACCACATGCTATATTAATATCACAATTACATGCGTACAGTAGTTACAATTGTGGTCTCGTTAGAGATACATCAACACTTGTAGCTCATTCGCACATCGTGTTTGTCTGTGTGAGTCCATGACAAATATGTCGTATAAATAAAATATAAACACTAATGCATCCCTGGTTTTATCATGCAATTACATACTAAATATTCGAATGCCTGAAAATTATTATTTTTATGGTATGTTTAGAAATTTGAATTTAGATTTTAAAATGAGATAATTTGAGTATGGATAATGCTAGAAACTCACTATCTTCATCCTCACACATGACAATATAGATAATTTTATATCTGCATCAGACGACAATCATCTCTGTTGCTCACAGATAATTATCGTCTCTCCAGATATAAAATATCATCAAATGGCATGCATTTCATTTGAGTACTTGGGATTTGGGAAGGACCAAACTATACTTACTCTAAAATTTGTACCTCAAACTTATACCAAAGGTATACAACAATGGTGGTTTACACTGACACAAAGTATTGTTGTGTTAACAAAAATTTACACACACAAAATATTGGTACTGTTACAAAAATTAGCATTAAACTAATACAAATTGTTGGGAAATAGCTTTGGGAAAGTAGGAAGGCGGAAGGATATCCAAAAGCATAGCCAAACGCGATTTGGGAGGAGAGAAAGACGGAACTACAATCCACGTCATCATCTGATTCCCCACCTCATTTCATCACCTCTCGCAGGAAACCCTAGGCATTCGTCTGATAGGGAGAAGAATCGAAGAATCGAAGAAGAAGAAGAAGATGGTGTTCTACTTCAAGTCTCGTCCCGAATCGGTAGAATACACCATCTTCATGGGACTTGACAAATACGAGAACGAAGATCTCATCAAATACGGCTTCCCTGAAGACATATGGTTCGTTCACACCCATCCTCTCATTTCTTCCACCCTTCGATCAATCCATATGTTCGTCTACTTGCGAATCGCATATTTCGTTTCCACTGCTTTATCCCGGACCATGGTTGCTTCAATTGTCAATAGTTTTCTAGTGTATTGTTTATATACTCTCATTTTGTATGTTCCAATTCCTGTGTTTGTACCAAATGTTGAGAACTTGAGGTCGTGATCTGTTTTTTAAACTAAAGTTGTTGAATTTGTGATTCTTATTTTTCTCGATAGACGATCAGTCTAGTTTTGCATTTCTTTTTTTGTTAATTTAGCCGCAGCTTGCATTTACTCGGTCGGTCATGCTTGACAAGCACTTTCATATGCACTTGTATTATTGGCGATGATTGGGTTTATTCCCTGGATTTGAGGTTAGAAGTTAGGTCTTTGAACCGAATCTCTTCGAGTCCTTACCATTGAATTGGATGTACTGTGTTTGTTGGTATGGGTTCATGACCTGACAATTGAAGTAATTTACGCCAGTCTCCTCTAGTCGGCTTTTCTCTTTTATGTCAAATTTGTATATAAGAAATTTTTCTGGTTGGTAATAATGTCGCGTGACATACTGACATACAGGCCTTAGTATAAACTATAAAGGTGGCATGTTTTGCGGAATTCATTCCAGTTGCGTGTTATTTAGTTTTTTTTTTTTGAATTTGTGTCTGGAAATGGTTATATACTTTTATATGGGTTTTGTTTGTTGTGGAATTTAGTATTTTGAATCTTGTGTTGGTAGATATTTTGTTTGAAGTTGTAATAGTTCCGTTTTGGTTGTCACTTTTCATGAAAAGTATTTATTATGCACTGTAGGTTCCATGTTGATAAGATGTCCTCAGCTCATGTTTATCTGAGATTGCCCAAGGGTCATACCATGGATGATATACCTGAAGGCGTGCTGGAAGATTGTGTACAACTAGTGAAGGCAAATTCCATCCAAGGTGCATGTGGCTTTTATTTTTTTTATTCGTATAAAATTCAATTTAAGGATCTGCTGGATGCAAGAATCTTTCTTTTTTAATTAGGAAGGTATGAAGGTCTAGGATTAGAGTAGTTGATAGACCTTTGGGCCTTAGTTTGTAGTTTTGGGTAGTTCTTTTGGGCTTTTGCCTGTAGTTTATGCAGGTGCATTTTTAGTCTAGTCTATAGCTTGTGCATATGTGCTTTCTGTGCTTTGGGTCTAGTTGCTAGTGTATGTAATTATTATGTGTGCTTGTCTTGGTGCTCTTTTTTTGGTCCCGTTACTTTGAGATTCTCTTAAAGCAACCTCTCTACTTCTCAATAGGGTTAATGTCTGGCCATACATTCATGTACACCGTATTTTATATCTTTCAAGTCCATTTAATTCCGACTTTTATTACTTCATCCGTCCCCAAATAAAGTTACAGTTACTATTCTAGGATCGTGATAACTTTTGATTAGTAATGTGTTATTATTGATCATTTGATAAAATAACATATTCATGTCACCTTTTGTTTGTAGAAATTTTGATGTAGTTTTAAACTATGTAAGTTTCATATGCATGGGGCGGATGGAGTATATTATTTACCTCATCTGTCCCATATAAAATGAGCCTTTTTTACAAATATACAATATTTTAACATTTCACATTATTACTGAGTATATGTAAAATCCAAATCGTACAACTATTTAACTTATAATTTAAAATTTTAAATTTATTTATTGGCTTAATTATTTTTAACATGTTTGGCACACTTTGCATGAGAAAAATTAAATATGATGAAAATTAGCTTCTATTGTTCAAATTGGACTCATTTTATGGACAGAGAATTTAATTATATTTGTAGCTTGTTTATGTTCTAGCCAACCTAATTTCACGTTGATGTAGATAATTAGATAGATTGCAGTAACCCACCTTTTGAATTCGTATATGGATAGGAAACAAGCAAAACAATATTGATGTTGTGTACACTCCATGGCAAAACCTTAAAAAGACTCCTTCCATGGAGGTTGGCCAAGTTTCCTTTCACAACCCTAAACTGGTGAGCTGAGTTGTATTTACTATTGCGTCTGCACACGTATACTGTCAAAAACATCCTCAACATTTATTTATTTGAAAATTTTATTGCGGGAATTTTTTTTTATTGCGGATGTTGAAGTTGGCATTATGTTTTAGGTGCGCACTGTCAAAGTGGAGAAGAGAATAAATGATATAATAAATAGATTGAACCGGACAAAGGTTGAAAGAAAGACTGACTTGAAGGGTAAGCACTCTACATCAAATTTGATGCTTTAATATTATTCCTATCTGACATTGATTTTTAATCACTGTATATGGGGGGCTCAGCTGAGCGTGAGGCCGTTAGTGCTGCTGAAAAAGCTGAGAGAAAGAATCTGCTGAGGGAGAAGGTGAGTTCCCTCTGTTGCTTTCTCAAAACCCTATATCAATTTTGGTATTATGAAACTCGTGGCACGGCATTGTTTTTTCATGCAAAATAACATAAAACTCCTTCAATTACATTTTTTGCATTGATGACAACAGCGTTAACATGTTCTTTAGGGCCATTTTTAGAATTCCCAATAATTTGCTAAATAAATATGGTCAAGCTTCTACATTTTCAAAATTTTATTGAACTAATGGGGCAAAAATTCTTTTCTTTCTTTTAAAAAATCTTTTTTTTTTTCAAAAGCTGCAAATCTGTATTTTTTTTCTTCAAAAAAGAAACTACATTAATTTCAGAAGGCAAAAAATTAAAAGTGTACAACTAAACTGTGACCATTTGTAGCCATTATATGCTTCTTTCGTGTTGTATGCTTCTCTACTTTCGACTAAGGGTAAGGTCTGCTCTACTAACACACACCCTCTCTAGACCCTACTTGCGTGGGGTTATACTGGGTTGGTGTTGTATGTTTCTTCGGTGTCCCTTACCCCCCTTTTTTCTCTGCATCTATTCTTTGATTAAGGCAAATGTCTTAACATCAAATGCAGAAACGTCGTGAGGAAATGGAGCGGCTGGAAAAGGAGAGGCACGCTGAGTTGAGGAGCTACAAAAATCTGATGGTGGCCGAGAAGATGACATCAAACAAAAACATTGCAACAACTGGAAAATCTCTGCAAGAACTCGAAGAAGATTTCATGTGAGTGGACCCCGGTAGTTCTACGATATCCGCAACTTTTTATAGCCCCATTCTGAAATTATGCAACGACGGGAAATAATTAGTCGAGAAAAAAGGGGCCAATGTGAAGTATAGTAGAGAACGCTTGGCGAAAGGAAAGAGGTGGGGATTATTGGGTTGTGTTTATGTTGCTATTTGGTCTTATAGTTGGCTCTTTCTTTGACAGAGCATTATAAGATGAGACTTTTGCCTTTGTACTATGAATAATGCCCTCTTATATGAAACAATGCATGATGATGATGAAGATACTAATGTATTATGCTTCTTGTTCATTGTGGCTTCCTTTTTGCAGCTTTTTCTTATCTTATACTCCCTATGTCCTACAAAAATTTCTTGTTTTGATTTTTAGGGGATCTAAGAGATGTGTATTTTGGTGTTGAATTTTTAAAAATGCCCTTGGATGTGATAGGTAAAAGTAGATGTGATAGATAGACTAGTAGTAAAAAAGTGTGATGTGATCGGGTAGGTAAAGAATTAGGGCCTGTTTTTTAGGACTGTAAAAAAAGAGTTGGATGTTGGAAAAACTGGAAGGAACCGGAAGAAACTGGAAAAACTGGAAGAACTGGAAGGAATTGGAAAAAACTGGAAGGAACTAGAAGAAACTGGAAAAAACTGGAAGAAACTGGAAAAAACCGGAAAATCTAAAAAAAGTTTAAAAATATTTATTTTAAATTCTTGTTGTTATAAATTATTATTATTATTATTATTATTATTATTATTATTATCATCATCATCATCATCATCCTCAGCATCATAATCATCATCATCATCATAGTGATCAACATAATCATCATCATCACGTTATCTTAGCGAATGTCTTTAAGATATAAAAAAAGTATTGTTATTTTTTAAATACAAAAAACTACTTTTACAAAAAATAATTATAATATAAAGTTAGCATAAATATAAAAATATTAAATTTTAAAAAGGCTGTGTAGTTATATTGCACCTCAATTTATTTATGCAGTATTTATTATAAATAATGTATTTTTAATTATAATTATTTTAAATATCATACATGTCACATAATCAAACCTATTGTTTGTTTCATGATTGACATTTTATTTTCATTGAATTCGTATTTTTGGAATTAAGACATAGATTTTTTTGTTTACATTTTTTATGTTTTATTTATATTTTAGTCTTTTTTTTCTCTAAGCTCTTTTGACTTACAATTTTTTTTATAAAAATTAGAAAAATGAGCAATATTTAAGTAATAAAGGGAAAAATGAGATGTCTTATAAAAAGTTATATTAATAAAACATTCAATGTAACTATTTTATCCATAATTTTTTTAGTATAATTTAAAATATTGATGTTATCCTGTTTTATCATATAGACTAATATAAAAAAAAATATCTTATTCATATGAAGAAAAAAATAATAAGTGTGAATCGTAAAAATAGTGAGATGAAAATAATAATTTATAAACTACAGTTATGAATATAACAGTTATAATAATAATAATAATCACATTAAAATATATCATTTTTAGAGTAATTGGTTGAGGAGTAGAAAGAATTTGAAGAAAATGAAAAAAGTTGGAAGAAACTGGAAGGAACGGGAAGAAATTGGAAGGAACTGGAAGAACTGGAAGAAATTGGAAGAAACTGTAAAAAACTGAAAAAAACTAGAAGGAGCTGGAAGAAACTGAAAGTTAAGAGTTCAAGTCCTAAAGAACATGTCCTTAGTAGGGGTAAAACTAACTTTTTAGTAGAAATGAGAAAAGTTTTTGAGACGGATGAAAAAAAGATAAAAGTTTTGTGAGGGTATGTTTGCCTACCAATAAAAAAATTTTAGTTATAAAAGAGTCATATGTGGCAAATAGGGTTTTATACCTTTCTAAAAAGATTCGTGCTTTTTTTAGTTCTCCCAAAAAGTTTTTATCAAAAGAAACATGTGGTTTACATTATTTTTCTCCTTTGCATAAATTTTCACTATATACCGGTAATTATTTTTTACTCCATAATTCCATATTAAACTTAGGTGAAAAAAGTAATCTAGAATTTCTTTGAGGGAACGCTCTGGAATGTCAAAATTGCATATTGAAGATTTGAAGAAGTTTTATCCTCCTTGTTAAATTATTACTCTCGACGTCTCAATTTAAATTGTGTATTTCAGTTTACGATGTTTGATTAAAATTATTTTTAAGTTATTTTATGTGAAAAATGGTGTAGAATTAGAAAATAAAAATTACATATTTAAAAAGTATCCAAAACACAAAAACTAATTGAAAATGTTGTTTCTAAACTAAGGCTATTTAAAACAAGATTATAATAAACTTATATTATATTGATTTGACCAAAATATTTACCGTAAAAAACATTAAGGACCGGTTTTTGGTTTTAGTCAATAATCCATAATTTATAGTACTCGTAAATTTTTACTTTTTGACTTGAAAAAGAAGGGAACCAAAAGATTTGTCGATGTGGTTCGAAATTTCAAAAAGATTATTTAGACTCTAAAAAATTGCAATGACGTTTAAGAAAATTACTTATTAAATCATGTTAACTTTAGACTTTTAGGCGTCCGTAATTAATGAATAGCCATTTTTAAAATATTTGTTCAGTTTAATTTTTTAAGCCAAAATAGACCAATTCCGGAGTAATATTTTGGAATTTTTATGTAAAATATATCTATTAAAAGATTTTTTGTATTGCCCAGTAATATGCAATATATAATTTATTTTAATAAATATTAGGCTGGTTTTGTTCATTTTAACTCGAAAAAAATTGTATTGAACGAATACTCTGAGACAAAAGTAATAGTAACCTTAAATGTTTGAGTTCTTGAGTTTATAATACTCCGAAATAACTTTATTGTAGAGAAATTAATAATAATTTAATGAAAGATCGTTTTTATGGAAAATTTCTCGTTCATACTTTTAAAATTTTGAAATTTAGTACAATTTTTTTTGAGATTACATAATTTTTACCAGTGCTTCAAGAATTTAAATTTCAGGTACTCCTTTTGTGTATCAAAATTATTGTGGCTTCTCGATAAGTTGCTTGCATGTTCTCACCATTTGGTAAAATATAAATTCTTTTCATCTATTATTTTGTATAACATCTAATGTAGTTGTTTAATATATAAGTTTCAAAATTTTTTATTTTTATATCAATATGTAAATAAAATGAATTTTAAAAGGGGAGGATTTTGTTCTTCTATAGAAAAGTTTAATTCATTTAGAGACAAATAATAATTTGTTTAATGTTGATTCCCAATAGCTACAAACAAAAATTTTGCTTTTGAGTATTCATTTAGTTTGATTGTTTCGAGTTAAACAAGATGAACTTTGATCATCAATTAGTCATCGATTTAAAACTAGAATCTCTCGAAATTCTAATTCTAATACTAGTCACGATTTCATCCAAATTTGGTAACCAAAATTGGGTCAGTGGCCAACCCTTAGCCCTTTACTGCTAGTAGATAGCGGGTAGCCGGGTACCTAATTCTCGCCCGCATGTATTGACGGACATCTCTAGACGCATATAATAGCAAGTATCCTCTTTCCATTAAAAAATGTGAATATGTAGCGAGTCTTTTTCTGTGCTTATAAGCTGGTGAAAACTATTTATAAACAATTTTTAACTTATAAATCAACTAATGACATGTTTCTGTGTGCTTATAAGCTGATTTATAAACTGCTTATAAGCAAAAAAATAAGTTAGTCTTAGCTACTTATTTTTAAGCAAATTTTTCTGTTTATCCGTTTTGACCAGATTATTTACAAAATTTTCTCTCACCATTTATGAATATTTCCAAATGATTTATCTATCATTTAAGTCATTTTACTTCGATTAAAGAATATTTAACTTATAAACAGATTATAAGTTAAAATTTATTTATCAGCAATACGTCAATAAACACCCGTACAGAGAAACACCCGCATAGTCTACACATGGTCATTTAATGTTAAGAATTTTCCATATTTAAACATTACATCTATAGTTTTCAAATTAACACAATATAATAGAAGATCAAACAGACAACTATTTGCAGAAATATACTCATAAGGAAATGATCACGAACAAAATTTTTAATAAGAAAGAAAGAACTAATATGAATAATTTCCAATTTAAAAAGTCTAATTATAGAATTTATTCAATTTCAAGAGTACATTCCAAAGGTATAAAGTCCAGAATTAGTGGCAATAAGCGCGGATCACAAAAAAAAACATTTCCCCCCTTTTCCCACGTTAAAACCCCATCTTTTTTATGCACTTGGAAGCAGGAACCCTAAGACCTCTCCATACCGATCATGGCGAAACCGTTGGATGAGGAAACCGCGAAGAAAGTTTTTCGTCAGGTCGAGTTTTACTTCAGTGATAGCAATCTTCCTCGGGATTCTTTTCTGAAGAAAAACGTTGATGAAAGCGAAGATGGATGTATCCTCCCCTGTAGTGCTTATTAATTTTCTAATGGATTGCATTATTTTAGTATGATTGTAAGTAGTTTTGCTGAGTTTAAACCTAGGATTAATGTAGGATTGATGTTTGATGAGCTTAACTGGGAATATAGTGGTGAGCTTGGCTTTGATATGTTCGTTCTCGAGGATGAGATCCCATCTGGGGTTGCAGGAAGTAAAAGCAGAGGATATAACAGATGATACTGTGAAAGCTGTGGCCGATGCTTTAAGGAGCTCTACTTTTCTTAAGGTTTCTGAGGATGGTAAACATTCTCAAGTTCTCTGGTTTGTGGTTTGGACGATATTACTCTTTGGCATCTGCGTCTGATTCGTTTTGCATTTGTTTTAGGAAAGAAAGTTGGTAGGGCTACAGAATTGCCGAAGCCGGAGGAGGTTATTGAACAAGTAGATGTGAGGACTATCGCGGCATCTCCGCTTGAGTATGTCATCAAGCTTGAAGATGTAGAGTCATTCTTTAGCCAATATGCAAAGGTATCATACTCTACAACAGTATCATCTCATATTTAAATGAGTAGCTCAGGCACTTGATGCACATACAAAATCTCTTAGTGTGTAATTACATGGCTGAATAGTCTTGCAGTAGGGGTACTAGTTGCCTGCACTTAGTATTAATGTTCAACTGTGCTAATAATCCACGATGATGAGTGGAAGTACATTTTTTATTCTAATTTAGTTGTTTTAACTCACAGGTTAACAGTGTACGGCTACCTCGGCATGTTGCTGACAAAAGGTTATTTTGTGGCACTGCCCTTGTCGAATTTTCAAGCGAGGAAGATGCTCAAAGTATTCTGAAGCAGCGCTTGGTTTATGCAGGTGTCGAGTTGGAATTGAAACCAAAGTAAGTTCTTTTCATCATTGTTGGTTTCGGATTTAACACTATCATTATAATTTTTGTGGTTCACAATTTTTAACCTTTTTCTTTTAGTCCTTGCGAATAATGTTCACTTAATACTTGTGACTTGTGAGTTTAGTTTTGTTGCTGTACACCTAAGATTATCATTTTAAAATCAACCCCATGGCATATGTGTTCCGGTCTATCATGTTTTTTTTTATTTCTTAATGGAGTTGTTTTGACTAATGATATAATTTGCATTACTCGGTGTTAATGATCATGTCATAAGCAACCATTTATGCACTAGAATAGGCTAATATGCTTGCGGCTGGAAGACATTTTTGAAATGGAGCTGATCTTGAAATATGTTGTGGCTGCATTTTTATTGATATTCTAGCAATTTCCTTCCAGATAATTTTTTAAAAACAAAAAAAATTCTTTGATAGGTCTAGGATAGATCGATTGAAAGTACATATTTTGTATGGATTTATATTGATTTTTATTTTTCATATGTTACAATAGCATTTATGTGATATCATTTTTCAATGGATAATGTGATTGTGTCACACTTGCATATTCTTTTACCAGGAAGGACTTTGATTCAGAAAGAGCTCAGCTGGAGAAAGAAGCTGAGAGTAAAGATCTCCATCGAGGTGCAGCTCATAAAAACCCACCAGATGCTAAAGAAAAGTAAGAAACTGTTCTCTTTGTCTGGTAGATTTTATTAAGGTCTGAACTTGTCTTGATCTATGTTGAATATTGCAGCTATCCCAAGGGCCTGATTATTTCTTTCAAGCTGAAGAAGATAAATGGTGATAACACACCAGTGGCTGACGATGTTAATGTGGCTGCTTGTGCGGAGGTACAAACCACAACCGAAGATGACAATGAACTGAATGCAGAAAAAGAGTCGAAGGATGAAGAAAACAATGAGGATGATGTTGAAGGAGGTGACAAGGGATTGGATGAAGAAAAAGAGTCATACGGCGATGAAAAACATGATAATGGTGCTGAAGGAGGTGATAACACACCAGAAGTTAATAATAGTGATGTTCCTGCTGCTGCAGAGGCACAAACTACTACAGAGGAGGAGAAGAGCCTTACTGAAGAAAAAGTGTTAAAAGACGGAGGAAATCATGAGAAAGTTGATGAGGGAGGTGATGGGGTAGGAAGTCACGGTCAGAATCCACTGGAAATGAACGAGAAAAAGACAAAAGAAAATCTATCATCTTCTCCGTGCAAGGGAAGTAAGGATATTGTCTTTCGTGATGATCTGAAGAGTTTGTTTCAGAAGTTTGGTACTGTGAAGGTACTTAGCTTTTGAAATTACAATATTCAAGAATATATTCCTTCCGTCCCATTTTAGCATGCCCGCGTTGACTACACATATTAATAAAGTGAAAATTGTGGTTGACATTTATGTAGAAGAGAAACAATATGAACCCTAGAATGCTTTATGCTTTCTATAACTAGAAAAATGCACAATTAGGAGCACTATTTTTTGGCTTATGTTTGGTATTAGATGAACTGGAATTCAATTTATTTTCTTATTCTTAAGGCAATCTCATATGGAGTAATTATTTTTGTTTTGCCTCTTAGATAATTCAAACTGGCAGTGTCCCTCTTTTTTTCTCAACCTAATTTCTTGGAGTTTCCTAAACTGATTAGATATTTGTATAATGGTCCACTTCTGTTTGTGCAGTATGTGGATTTTAAGACGGGATCAGATTCAGGATATATAAGGTTTGAGAAGGCTGAGGCAGCTCAAAAGGCACGAGCTGCTGCCGTGCTTGCTGCGGAAGGAGGTCTTTCTGTGAAGAATTTTATCGCTACCTTAGATCCTGTGACTGGTATGGTTTATATCTATATTTTCTTTTCAATTTTCTTCCCTTCACCTGTAATCTGTATATATCTACCCTGCAATTCAGTATTTGCCTTTTTTTTTCCTGAGAAAAGGCTCTGATTTCATTATAAAAAACAGGTGATGCTGAAAAGGAATACTGGGGTAAGCTTAGTGGTGGTCAAGATAGACAGCGAGGAGATTACAAAGGAAACAGGGGAAGGTAAGGGGAACCTTGACTATACGTCCTATTTTGGTATAAAAACATTGAGAGTCCGTTTGGTGCACGGAATTGAAATTGAATTGGTATGGAAATTCTATGAAATTTAATTGGATGGAATTGAGTTCTCCAATTCCAATTTATTTTTTTGCACTATCGACTCCAAATCCACACATTTATGTGCTACCAAACAACAGAATTGATATACGGGGAGCATGTTTTAGTTTGAATTATGTATGTTTCCCAATTAATTTATGATGGTTGTATCTTTTCATGAATCTATAAATAATATGTTCAGACAATTTAGGACCCAAAACAATGTGAATTTCTATAAGTACACAGCTCTTCTACGAAACACTTGATGCCCTCGGAATAGTTACCGGTGGCTGTAACACAGCGTTTAATGTGTGCAGGGGAGGTAAATTCAGAGGCGGGAAACACCCACGACATAGAGATAATAACAACAATTCAGGTCGGCCAAACAAAGCTCAGAAGGTTGAAGCCTGATAACGGTGCCAGTTTTGCCCCCCTTTTTTCACAGAACTTGAGATGTCGTATAATTAAAAATTACTTGATATTATGACATTATATTATTGATATTTATAATAATATTACTCTCGACGTCTTGGTATATGGATTCACAAATTTTGTCCCAAAATGCATATCGTAATTTGTAATGTTAAAGCGAAATTATATTTTATTGGCACCACCCAATAATAATAAGTTATGGAGCTACGTTTTCTATTGTCAACGACACTGCACGTTTATTGTCATTATACTAGTCGGGGACGCGTGGTGCTCAATTATCTATGTATATCGAAAATCGTGCAAGAGAATTGACTTACGTATTTTAGTTATGTAAACTAATACTCTAAGGTCTACAAGTATTAGTTATGTACATTCAAAACGAGTATTAGTTATGTACATTTTGTTTTGTACGTTCGAGAATTGCAAAAAGAATGTTTGTGTGTTGTGTGTGTGTTAGTCTAGTTTCTTTCTTTTCCTCTTCTCTATAACTTGATGAATCCAAATGCTATAGGAAAGTAGATCACAAATTTATAGCGGACCATGTTGATAAATCAATTATCCAAATGAACTTAATCTAACAAAATGGTTTAATCTTTCTTTTAACCTTTTTCCCCATGTAGCTTTAGGTAGTTTTTGTCTTTGTCCTTGAGCCAAAAGGCTTTGGATCTTTGTTTACAAGAAATATTAGATTAGTTATAATTCAGTATTTTCGAAGATTTCATTAATTGGTATGCAGTTATTAAAATAATCATTGGGGTAAATACTGGAATAAATAATAGTTTTACATTATTTCAACTAATAATTTATTAATAATATGTTCTTTTATAAAATCATCATTAATGTTAAAATAAACCACTATAAAGTACTCTTTACCAAATTAATTTTTTCACTTTTTTAAGTGCGTCTCAAAATAAGTCTTACTTCTTTACATTCCTAATAAAATAAAAATATGTGGTCTTTTTTTCTCTAATCCAAATAAAACGATTCATTTTTTACTTTTAAATACTCCCTCCGTCTCAAATTATAATGTCTGTTTACTATTCACAGGGTCAAACTTCATTCACTTTCTTTCTCTATTTTCGTTAGCAATTTGATAAAATAAAATATTATTGTCACTACTAGTTTTGTAGATCTTTTGATGTAGTTTTTTAATATGTAATTTTTATTTTTTAATTCTATACCATTTGTCATATAAAATGGTTTGAAAATAATTTCAGTCAAACATCGTAAACCGAAACAGGCGTTAACATTCACTCAAAAAGATGGTTACCATTAAGTTTATAATATAATTGACATAATGGTACATAGATTTCATTCTCTACATAAACTTCAAGACATCATTTTGCATAGACAACGTTTAAAAATTAGACTACGGACAACATTTTAAAAATTACTCCGTAGATTTCAGGGCCAAAAAAAAAAGGAATAAAAAAACAACGCCCACCGTGGGGCTCGAACCCACGACCACAAGGTTAAGAGCCTTGCGCTCTACCAACTGAGCTAGACGGGCTTTTTGATATCTTTCCTGAAACACTTTATAAGACTACATATATGAAACTAGCCAGAAACGAGGACTCACTTACAAACATGTAAAATTTCATCTTTTTAGAACCAATTTTATTTGCAAATTAAGGATAAAAAAGTACAATCTACATATTTAAAAATCACATAAAAATTCTACAATCAAGCGATGATACGTTTATTGTAATTTCTCAAATTTTTAATGTAAAATATACGTAAACAAAAGTTATCAAAAATTTCTAATAGTAAAGAAGATGATAAATTTGGGATGAAAAAATATCTCTCCATCCGTCATAGATCTTCTCGAATATTATTTACATGGTCAAACTTAACATACTTTGTTTGCTTATTATTACTACTTAAATATCTCACATCTAGTCTTGTAGAATTTTTCTTGTAGTTTTTTATTATATAAATTCTATTTTAAAATAACGCTAATAAAGGCTGCCGTGAGATAATTTTTTGAAAATGTTTACACTGTTCTCTAGCGCTGATGTCAAACGGAGTCTCCATGCACTAAAATGTTCCATGCTATATATAGATTGTTTGGACTAGAAATTGCAGATGGGCGATGGCTGAAGATTGGACTTAATTTCACCGCTTTTCTAATTAAAAAGAAAAATGAAAGTTGTTTTTTTACCGTTTTAACTTTAAAGACTTAATCTAGAGTTTGGTTCTTATAGTCTCTTGGTGCTATTCAAGGTTTTAAGTTTATTTTGTCATGTATTTGATTATGTTTTATGAAGATTAAATGTGTAGAAGCACCAAAACTTTAAAAAGAGACTCAAATATGAAGACTTATTTGACATTAGAGACAAAGACAAAGGAACAATAACTAAAAATATTCACCAATAGAGAATGCTAAAATCTTTTGGATAAAAGTGTGTTTAAAAAAAGTTAGTAAAACCTATATAATATAAAATAATAGGAGTATAAAGTAGTTGTAAAGTAAGTTGAATTCATAAATTGTATACTTATTTTACAACCTTTTTGGCACCCAGAGCCCCAGACACACGAAGTGTGTGTTTGGCTAGTATAGTCCCTATTTCGCTTTGGTGTCAAATATTTGACTAAGTATATATAAAAATATATTTTCTCTGTCCATAAAAGATTATCACAGTTTGATTTTTTAATTTTATTAAACTGTAATACAACTTGAGTAGTAATTAAGTATAATTTAAAATAATTAAATATTATAAAATTTTGATATTTTAAAAATAAACCCAAGTTTACTAAATTTACATTTTAATATAATTTTTCAATGACTTGCGATCAAAAAGATCAAATTGTGACAATCTTTTAGGGACGTAAGAGTAGAATGAATTACTCCTAAAATATAAAAATTATATCAAATTATTGATATCAGAAAATATTTTAGATTTATTATTTTTAATATTTTTTTGTGAATATATTTTTTAAAATATTGTTGATCAAATTTGGTCAATGGAGTATTTATGAAATTGTCATTTCCGTGCACGTATCGCAGTCTTGAACCAATTGAACGAAACGACACAGGCGAAATTACACCAACAGAAAAAAGAACAATGGAAAAGGCGGAGGTTTCCTTTGCCGGAGCTAAAATGCACTCGCGGGCACCGTCGCACACCGCCGATCGCCGTCTTTATCTTCTCTCCCGCCATCTCGAACCTTCTCTGTCCGCCATCAACGCTCATGATGGCAACCGCACCGTTTCAGCTTCACCGACATCCGGATTTTCGGACCCCGGCTCTGTCTTCAGTCACGTCGTTCAAGCTCCGGAGGATCCTATTCTCGGCGTACTTCCCTCTATATCTCTGTTTTTGTTCGTGCTTGTACTTAAACGTGAAGGATAGGCAGTAATCGAAAATGATATGATCATTTCCTGAGTTTGGATTTCTTCCTAGAGTAGAACTGGATGATCAATTAAGTAATTTAAGTTCCTGCGAAAACCATGAGTGATTAAGGATGGATTAGGTCATGTGAGGAGATTTTTACCAGATATGTTTGAAATACATTACTGCAATTTAGACAAATCATGCCTGTATAAGTATTGTGAGGATATTCTGCTAAATCATTGGGTGTTGTATTTTGGATCTCACAGGTCACGGTTGCATATAACAAAGATCCTAGCCCTGTGAAGTTGAATTTAGGAGTTGGAGCTTATCGGACTGAGGTGAGCTGTGGTTTCATTTCTATCCCGGAGTATTATAAATTATAAATACATAGAGCAGTACAATAGTTGATAACAATGAATTCGTTGGTAGCGTCAACGATTAGCCATATACAATTTGATTTAGTACTTTTTAACAATTTGTTCCTTATAGCTTAATTACTTTCCATTTAAATGAATACAAGTTGTTTGAAGTGCCTAAAATTATCATTGAAAACAATAATAATCATACATATTAAGTACCCAACAAAGCTCCAGGTTCTTTTGACCTTAAGCTTAATGCCTTAATGTCTAGGTGATCTGAAATTCTAAATTTGGAAGGACTTTGGTAGTTAGTTTCATTTTAAATAAGTAGTCATTTGCTACAAATTTTTCATTGTTAAAAGTGTGTTCCTTATAGCTAAGTTCTATTTTACAGAGAGAGACAGAAGGTGAATTAAGCTCAATTTGTACTTATAGCAAGGTTGTTTTCAAGAGAACTAAAAAGGACCAGATGTTAAATTAGACGGTATTTGATTGGATTTTTATAAGCGATCTTTAATGTGAAAATGAATTGTAGTATGTCCTGTCAAATTGTCTACCTCATTAAAATTGGAGCTTATGTCTCTTCTTTTTCCTGAATTTCTTGGGTTGCCACTTTTTTTTATTTCTTTAAAAAAATTCTGATCATGGCTAACTCTCAAAATAACACCACTAGTTTCTTATTTCTTGGATGTGGGTTGTAGGAGTTGGGAGTGTTCATATTCGATGTTGTGTCTGAATGCATGCTTACAAAATATGAATTATCGATCTTTGATGGTAATCTTGGGGATGTGTCCACCTGTAAGACTGATTTATCTTTTGTCCTTGGTCTTTGTGGTATAACAGGAAGGAAAACCTCTTGTGCTGAATGTAGTAAGGAAGGCAGAGCAGATTTTAGTTAATGATAGGTATTTATACATACTATGCATAATGTATTTTATAAGCACAATGGGAAATGATGAAGTATTGGAAATTTTACAGATCTCGTGTTAAGGAGTATCTACCAATTACTGGATTGGCAGACTTCAATAAATTGAGTGCTAAGCTGATACTTGGTGCGGATAGGTATGGACACTCATTTTCAACACACTTTTTAGAGATGTGCAGCTTTCTCATGGGATTTTTTCCCTTGAGATCACGATATCTCCTTTCATTATGATTATATGTATATCCAATGATACATCTAACATGATGAATGCTCTTGGAATATATAGTCCTGCTATCCATGAGAACAGGGTAACAACTGTGCAGTGCTTGTCTGGTACAGGCTCATTGAGGGTTGGTGCTGAATTTTTGAGTCGACATTATCATCAAGTAAATATCTTATTTACCATTCATGAATTCCCAGACCCTAACTGGGTTGTTGTACCATTCATGATTTCTGGATTTCTTAATGACTATCTTTGGTATCTATTTGGCCCTCATCTGCATTTCCATACAGCAAGCTATCTATATACCACAGCCAACTTGGGGAAACCACCCAAAGGTCTTCACACTAGCAGGTTTGTCAGTAAAGACCTACCGGTACTATGATCCAGTAACTCGGGGACTTGATATCCAAGGTACATTTTACCATTATAGACTACTACGGGATTCATTAATTGTTCCTCAGAATTGACTGAATTGTACATTTACTTCTTTTATTTTTCCAAAATCTTAAAATTGTCTGTTCGTTAATGATGGTTTTATGTGTGACAGGTTTGTTGGAAGACCTTGGGTCTGCTCCATCAGGGGCAATTGTGCTTCTGCATGCATGTGCTCATAATCCCACTGGAGTCGATCCAACTGCTACTCAGTGGGAGCAGATCAGGAAGTTGATGTGGTCAAGATCATTGTTACCTTTCTTTGATAGTGCTTACCAGGTGGACTACCAAGCTTATAGTTGCATCTGTTGCATCTAGGTTATAGAGTACATAGTAGTGCATTTTTTTAAATTTTTTAAAATGTTTTTATTGCAGGGTTTTGCAAGTGGAAGTCTGGATAGAGATGCTCACCCGGTTCGCTCATTTGTTGCTGATGGAGGTGAATGCCTTGTCGCTCAGAGTTATGCAAAGAATATGGGACTTTATGGTGAAAGAGTTGGAGCTCTAAGTATTGTAAGTTCATTGTCAGGAAGATATATGCTTTTTGAATATATAGTACCCCCTCCTCCCCTAAATGAATTACACAGTTTCCTTTTCTTTCGTTAAAAAGGAAAGAATAACTGAATAAGTGGCTACCTACAATTCTCCGTCCTCTAAACAAATTCTATCCACACTTTTTACTTTTCAACAACTTTTTTAACTTCCTTGAAGTCAAACATGGTTGATTCATTTGGGGATGGAGGGAGTGATATAGAGCCCATTTGTTTAAATGTTATTTGAATGAAAGGTATGAATTTGTTGAATTGTCTGGAAGGAATAGCATTTGGTACCATACATTTCAGCCGAATAAGTCACTTTTGCCCTTAATCTTGCTGTGTTGTTTTACTTTATATCCAATTGTCATCTTAATTTGTTCTCTTATTTAGCTTCCAAAGGAGATAACATAAGATGTTCCATTTGAGATAATTTTAGCATTTAGTGTTGCTATGCATCTAAGATGTCATAACAGCTATGTATAAAAAATCAGATCATGGCAGTGGGTGTACTGCAGAGCTAATGTTTTTTATTGTAGTCCATTTATTTTTTTTGGAGGTGTATGCTTTACGCTAGTTTATACTCCGTAATTCTGTATTGATTTTAACCTGGGTGTCGTGGATATTTGCACAGTTTTTATCCTTGGTAGTTTTTAGCGGATTTGTATGTCTTTCTCACAGCAGAGTGCTAGTGTGAAACAATGAAATTATTTTCTTGTAAAAGAATCAAGTGAATTTCTATTCATCATTTGTAGGTATGTAAGAATCCTGAGGTGGCTAGCAGAGTTGAAAGTCAACTTAAACTAGTTATCAGGCCAATGTACTCAAATCCGCCTATACATGGTGCATCAATTGTGGCCACAATCATCAAGGACAGGTACTCTATATGTCCGAATGACTGCTTTGCCTTTGGAAATTTAATTTGACCCCTGTCATTATTAAGTTTAGACACACTAAGGTATCCAGTGTTTCTTAGAAGTCCTAATACTGTGGTTGCAGAAACATGTATGAGGAATGGACCGTTGAGCTGAAAGCAATGGCGGATCGTATCATCACCATGCGCCATCAACTGTTTGAAGCTCTACGTGCTCGAAGTAAATAATATTTTAAGTTCTTTGTAAAGGATTCACCATATTGTTATTGAGATTTTGTTGATATAATTGGCGTCCTCCGTGTGTGTACACGATTATATGAAACAGGTCCTAAAAACTTATAGCATATCTGAGAAGTGACTGTCTATTGGAGGTGGGGGGGGGAGGGGGGGTTATACATAGGGTAAATGTCCACCGCCACTGGATATTGTTCCTGCTACTAGACATTATTTAAGTACGACCCCGTATTTAGGGAATAAAAAGTCTTAGGTACTACATTGGGAAAAGACATGTTTTGGTAGTATTTAGTGCAAACTTCACTTATACATAACCAATGAATATGACCAATTCATTTTACTCCGTTTTTTTAATGTTAACACAAACATAAGATGAAGTGCCAATGAAGTTTGAGGATTTCTGCTTTTTCTTTTTTGTGTGTAATAGGGACACCTGGAGACTGGAGTCACATTATCAAGCAAATAGGAATGTTTACTTTCACTGGACTCAACACAAAACAGGTCGCCTTCATGACCAAAGAGTTCCATATCTACATGACCGCGGACGGGTAATTGATTACCACACATCTATCATTTTGCATGCTCTATATTATAATAGCCACCCACTCTATTCCCTTTTATAAAATATGATCTTTTTTTTGGGATTCAAAAAAAAAAACTTTCGAAACCAGACCTTGCCATTTTTGGTTGCTATATAATTGTGCAGAAGAATAAGCATGGCGGGACTAAGTTCGAAGACAGTTCCACATCTAGCCGATGCCATTCACGCTGCCGTTACCAGAGTGGTATGAGTTAAGTTACTTAAGTAAGTGCGCTGGACTGGACTATTTGACACTTCTCACATTAATAAGGCATAAAAAATGCTGGGTCCTAATTAATGTGTACTGTAAATGCTCTGCGAGCTTTTTTTTCTTCTTATATTATACTCCGTAACATAAGAGTAATAATATACTCAGAAATGATTATAAAGGAAAGCACATTCAAAACTTCAAGTGAGCAGCTTTTTCTCCAGTAGTGGTTTTTATTGATTAATACTCCCTCCGTCCCTTTACAAATGAGATGTTTTGATTTTGAAGAGATTTAAGGGGAGCGTATTTTGGTATTGAATTTCCAAAAATGTGCTTTGATGTGATAGGTAAAAGTAGGATTTGATGGGTAAATTATTAATAAAAGGGTTTGATGTGATAGGTAGGGTATGAAAAAGTAAGGGGTAAAAGTGACTTTTTAATAGAAATAAGAAATGTTTTTTGGGACAGATGAAAAAAGAAAGGAGAAAGATTTTCAGGAATGAAGGGAGTAGTTTATTAACTTCATTTTACCACCTTCAAACCTAGTAGAAGCCCAAGAGATAACTTAGATGCATGCATTGCCCTATTTACTTTTCCAAACTTTATTGGAAATAAGAAGTGAATGAGTTTAATGTGTCATTTTGATTCAGTCTATTATTATGTATTGGAAAATAAATCGTTGTGGACTATTTTTGCTTCATTGGCAATTGACGAAAATTTATACTACCTCCGTCCCATAAAATGTTTTTGCTCCATGCAATTTGTAATACTTCTAAACAAATATTCCTCCCGTCCCATAAAATGTTTTTAACTTTTTGTCTTGATCTCTCAAAAGAAGTGCTTTATTTTCTACTTTGATAATGAATATGTGGTTCAAATTAACTATTTTTAATCTAAATAAATTTTAATCATACATTTTCTTATTTTTTACTTCGTTCCAAATTAAGGCAGTGTTCTATTTGACTATTTAACTTATTTTTTTTGTTTATTACTTATTTTTATTATAGTCAGATCAGACCTGATTAGATCAGAAATAATTTTAGTTATAACTACAATTAGATCAAACCTGATCAGATCAGAAACAACTTTAAACTACAATCAGATCAGAAACAACTTAAGTTATAATTACAATCAGATTAGACCTGATCAGATTAAATAAAATCTTCAAAAAAATCAAATGAGATTAGATCAGGCGAACAGAACGTAGCCTAATTTGCATGTTTATTATTCACATTGGTAAACATTATTCACTTTCTTCTCCTATTTTTTCTACTTATTTGATAAAATAATATAGCCATATTACATCTTGTTTTGTAGAACTTTTGATATAATTTTTAAATTTGAAAAATTTACTCTAATTTTTCAATAAATTGTATTGAAAATAATTTTAGTCAAATATCATAAATTGACTGGTTGATTTAAATTTGGACGTAGATAGTAATACAGTAATTTTGTGAACTCTGTGAAAGTCAAACCGTAAGATTTTTATGGGATAATAAAGGGAGCATTAACAATTTTGTTAAATAAAATTGGACTTTTTTGGATAATTAATTTTAGTACAATGTACATACTTATTTAACCTATTGATATACTCCTCCCGTCCCTAAAAGATTGTTACAATTTGATTTTTTTGTCAAACTGTGACACTCTTTGACTATGAATTAAATATAGTTTAAAATAGTTAAATACTCCCTTTGTCCCAATTTATAGTGTCTGTTTCGGTTTACGATGTTTGATTGACATTATTTTCAAATCATTTTACATGACAAATGGTATAGAGTTAAAAAAAAATAAAAATTACACATTAAAATACACATCAAAAGATCTACAAAACTAGTAGTGACAATAATACTTTATTTTATCAAATTGCTAACAAAAATAGATAAAGAAAATGAATGAAGTTTAACCCTGTGAATTATGTACATGCACTATAAATTCAGACGGAGGAAGTATTATATAAAATATGATATTTCAAAACTAAATTTTAAAATAAATCTAATTTTACTAAATTTACATTATAACTACATTTTTTATAATTCACGTCAAAAGTCAAACTATGATAATTTTTAGAGAGGGATGAAGTATTAAAAGTCAAAATTTTTGGGCATGTGATTTTCTATTTGGGAGAACTATAAAAAATAGTAATGTTACTGAACCACGCGAAAATTTGGAGGAGTTTTGTGACAAGTGTTTAGTCGGCAAGGTAAAGAGTGATTATAAAGTAATCTTCGAATTTAATTCCTAACAACTGCCGTGTGACTTGTGAGACAATTATATTAAACATTTGATATCTGCAATTACTATGTCCCTCGGCGATAGGGTTAAAGATTTGAAGAGTAATTTTAATTTGTGAATATAAAGGGAATATTTTGTACTGTCTCATCTGACGTGCGTGACAATAAGTGGTGTGTACAGTGTTTGTTTAGTGCGCAGCCTATAGGGTATAGTGCCTGTTCGAATTGGACTAGATTGCCCTCCTTATGAAATCTCTCCCAAAGGATAGTCATGTTTTCCGGTTATCGTTCGACCTGGTCTGAGGGGATCTTGACTCGAGGATGTTTTTCGTTCCATTCTCTTCAGAAAAGATAAACACGTGTTTGTCGAGATCTTTGTAAGATTTCAATATACGCCGAGTTAAAAAAGATTAAAATTTAGCTCATTTTTGAATAATATTATTTCTATTATAGTGTAGTATTTGTCTATATATAATGAAATTGTTTCACCAATTCTTGAGCTTGTAATATACTAGATGTATTATGTCCGTCCAACTTCTCAAAATAAAAGACATTCATTGATTGATTAGAATTTAGTATTAATTTAATTAATTTTAATATTGATATTAATATAGAAAAGGTTCGCATATTTAAAAATTATACGCAGTATTAAAAAAATTACAAAATAGAATATGAAAATATATTTCGTCAAATTTTTTGTGAAAATATATGAAAAATAGTGATTTAATTTGACTCTGATCTGTAGCAAAAGCAATTTATTTCGTTCTAAATTTTAATTTACTCTTGTAGTCCCACTTTAAACTCTGTAATACTACCTCCGTTCTAAAACTTTCTTCCTGTTGCGCAAAACGAAAAAAAAGTTCAACAAAACAAGTGGTGACAAGAATATTTTATTTTATCGTATAGGCCATGAAAAAACACAAATAAATATAAATTCCCGTGAAGTTGGAATAGTGCTTTGGGAAGAAAGTTTTAGGACGGGGGGAGTAATATTATGGCGGTCCCAATGTTTCTATTGTTGTCCCAAAGTATTTAATTTACTCTCTTCGCCCATTCGGAAATTCTTGTGAGGTTTGTTTATAATTTTTTTAAAAAATATACTCCGTATTATAGAGTAAAATTTAAATTACTAAAATGTATATTATTTTTTTTTGAAACCAAAATGCAAAATTAATTTATTATAGAGTATACAGAGGGTGTTTGACAGTGTGCTGCTTTTAGGAATTTAGCTTCTGCTTTGAGCAGAAGTTGTTTTACTGTGCTTGGCATGTTAGCTTCTGTTTTTCTGAACTACTATTTTGTACATAGAGCACCATTTTGGAGAAGCGATTATGAAGTGCTTTTGCTTTCAGCATTTGTGGAAATGACTTTATCCACAAGTTAATCACTCCTAAACATCTTCACAGTTTCTTTTGCAATTTTTCATTATCCAAGAATTATACTTTGTATTTCTTTGGAATGGTCGAAGACCTTGTGATCACAAATTTGAGCAGGTTGAAAAATTACGCTCCATATATGAATTGTAAATGTGAAGGATCCATAACGTAATTTAAAATACTTTAGGGAGATGAGAATATGAAAACGGTTGAGAGAAAGAGTGAATAATTTTTACGAGTGGGGGTGTTTAAATAATGGATTAAAAAATCAAAAAAAAAATTGAAGGATCGGCCGTTACAACAGCTAACTTGGAGAAGGGGATGTGTGGTGGGTGTGATGGTCATCACGCGCATCACGATCGAGGTAGTCGATCTTCATCCCGATCACGCGCACACGTGGCTATCACGGCACGCCATCACCCCACCACGTCACGTACACCATTTAGCTTAAGGCGTGGATCACACAATCACGCCAAAGCTTTCTTGCCACGTTAGTTTTTCTCTTTCTAATCACAACTATCCCTTTTTAGGGATGTTAATCACGCCCATCTCTTTATTTTCTTTTTTTATTTTTTATTTTTATTTTAAATAAGATATACTTAAAATAGAAACATTAAATAAATATTTTATAAATATGATCATTAAAATTACGTTGACATAATGCAATAAAAATAGCAGAATAAAAAAGGTACAATGATTTAAAAGATATAAAAAAGATTATTTGTGATATGGAAATGGCGTAGTAAAATTCTACAAATGTTCAACCAAATCGGAATAGAGGTTCTGGTGCGTATGCGTGTTGTTGTTGTGTGACAAAAGCCTGTTGAGATCTTGTTGTTATGCATCAATTGATTCAACGTTCTCATTGACATCGTTCGGATATAACTCACATATCACGTGTCGTCCTTCATTTTTGATAATTGCGTTATGTAAGACGTAGCAAGCGTACATAACATTTCATAATTTTTCTGGTGGAGAAGCTAAGCTCGAATTTTGCCTACCAAACAAACGTTCCACATCTTTTTGCCACACGAGGAATAATTATTTTAGAATTTCTCGTACATCTACTAAACATCTATCTCATCTTATCTTCCAAAGTCAAGGTCAAGGTCAACATTAGCATTATTAGAACTCACTGTCTCGTACTTTTTAACCTATACTCCCTCCGTTTCGAAAAACCCTTCTCATTTGATTTGGAGGCAAAAATAAGGAAGTGTTAAATTATAGTTGATTTTCAATTTTGTTCCTGATGTGATAAGTAAAAGTAAGATGTGATGGATAGATTATTAGAGAAAAAGTATGATGTGATAGGTAGGGTAGAAAAAAGCAAGGGTAAAAGTGGTTTTTTAATAGAAAGGGGAAGTGTTTTGTTGGAAGTGGAAAAAATGAAAGAGAAAGTGTTTTTGAGAACGGAGGGAGTATAATACAGGGAGTAGAATATTTATCTATATAAAAAATACTCCCTCCGTCCCGGAAAACATAGAAGTTTTGGTTTTGGAAAGGGATTTAAGGAGAATGTATTTTGGTATTGAATTTCCAAAAATGTCCTTTGATGGGTAAAGTATGATTTGATGGATAGATTATTAGTAAAAAGGTATGATGTGATAGGTAAGGTATGAAAAAATAAG